TATTCAGTTATGGAGGCTCAGGCTGGGGTGGACCTGGTGCCCACGCACAAGGACAAACTGCCAGGCAGGGAGGAGGGAAAGAACACAGGCAGCCACCTTGGCAGTGGTCTCTAGGAACAGAGGTTCCACTGAGATGGAGAGGATTTACCTCCCAAGGAGAATGAGACAGCAGGATGTGTCAGAAATGAAAGCAATTAAAAGAGCTGCAGTGTGAGCTCTGTTGGTATCCCACTGAAGCGAAAGGGATTTTGCTTTTTAAGTCGCCTAAAATATATACTATGAAGACTAAAGCGTTTAGAAGGCAGGCTCAATTACAGGCCGTGACAGCAAAAGACATCCATTAAGAAGCAAATAAAGATGGAGCCACTTCATCAACAGTCTCGCTGAAACCGCATTTGAATAAAGAAAGTGTTAATTATACTTCGGTGGAATAATGATCAGCCACGATGCACAAAGCACACTTCTCAACAGAAACAACTGGAAATGTGCTAACCAGAAATCTGTTATACATTTATTTCTGTCTTTCTACCCACCTTCTCTCTCCCCTGTCCCGACCAATTTCTAAGCTCCTGCACACGGCTGTCCGTTAGGAGGAGTGGGGAAGCGTTGATAGAGTGAAGACGTTAACCTGTGGGTTTCTGGACAGACCTTCAAACTTCAATTTTATTTATTTTTTGACCATTTCTTTAGGAGATTTCGAAGCATGTTAGTCGGTGTGATTAATGACATTCCTACATACCTTGAAGACTCCCAATCAGGAACTGGATTAGGGTAAGACAGCTGTCAGTCAGCAGGACACTGCTGTTGGCCAAGGGAATTTCTGTCATTTGTCAATTCCTTCAGGACCTCATAGACTACTGGGTCTGTCTTACAGACTAACTGATGCAATATGGTCACCAGATGCAAAAGTGAAATTAATAAAAACAAGGATTGTAGCTAAGGGTCAAGAAGTCCTGAGCCTGAAAACTGGTGTTCAGGACAACAGGAGGAGAAGAGATAAAGACAGAAGCAAGCACTCCTTCCTAAGGAAATGAAACCAAATGGACTTTACAGTGTCCAGAAGGGTACCGATCCAGAAAGCAGAAGACGTTGCTTCGGCGACTCCAGGTCTCACTGGTGCCTCCCTGCACCCCGAGCTCCATGGTTATCTCCAGATTCTGCTAACTTCCCAAGCAGCTCCACTCTCTGCTCCATAATCTGTCGTCCTTCCAAGTTACTGTTGCCTACTGTGACCTCCTGACTTGTTAAGGACAGAACCTAGAAAATACTTGTGAACATAGCATAGGCCACGGTTTTCTGTTTTATTGAAGTGCCACTTATTCCTTTGTATATGACACTGCTACTCAAAATTATATTCTGTGTAGCCAGACACAGTGACACATGCCTATAATCTGAGCAACTCGGGAGGCTGATGCAGGAGGATCGCAAGTTCGAGGCCAGTCTCAACAAATTAACTGAGACCTGTCTCACAAATAAAATAAAAAGGGCAAGAGCGTAGCTCAGTGGTAGAGCATCCATGGGCTCGATCCCCAGTACCACAAAACACAATGACCTTCTACAGCAGGGTTAGGATTGTGGTGAAGGCTAGACAAGGACAGGAAGGTGGGCACCTTCTAAACTCCTCAGCTCTGAGAAGTCATCAGAGAATCACTTCATGCCTAGCTCTGTTCAGAGCTCTTCATTCCTATTAGCTGCTTTCCTTGGTAAAAACAACCCATGACATAGACTCTCGTTCCCCTCCTATACAGAGAAGGAAACAACTCAGACCTCAATGGTCTACTTATGAAACTTTAAAATTCATCCCCACCCCCATTCATTTTTCTCTTTCTTCCCTTCTGGGAGCTAGACACAAAAGACTAGTCCATTAAAAACAACTGCAAATACTGTAAAAATCAAAAAGCAACCACACAGGCCCAAAGAAAGGCACAGGTTCAGAAAAGCCCCAAGAAGACCACAAGTTTGCACCTCAAGATGAAGGCTGCCATAGAGGCAGACTATAAATGAACTTGGGGAAAAAAAAAAAAACAAACACCACAACTGAACTTTACCCTTAAAAATGGTTAAGATGGAAAATTTCACATGATGAGCACTTTAACACAATAAATGAATGAGTGAATAAATAAATATCTCTACACCTCATATCATATGCAAAAAATAAATTACAAATGGTTGTGTGTGATACAACAAGCAAAAGCCATAAAGGAAAAAGAACTAACCTCTATCTCATCGAAATGAAAAACTTCTGTGCTTCAAAATGTGCCAGAAAGTTACTCAGTCACAGACTAACCACAGACCAGAGGAAGCTATGTGCAACCCCTGTAATTGACAAAGGATGTATAAAATCTTATGAATCAGTATAAAAAAATCAACGCACTGGGAAAATGGCTGAAAGATCAGTAGATGTAATTATGCAGATGTAATTATGATGTAATTGTGGTAGATACTCAGCTGGCCAGCAATCATGTAGTAAGGCTCAGCCTTACTACAGATCAATGAGATTTCAAATAGGAGGAAACCCACTGTGCACCCATGAGATGAATGGAAAATCAAGTCTGGCATTACCCAGCACTGGAAAGCAAGTAGGAAAGCAGCAGTTCTCAAGTACGGCTGCAAGAGCACGTGTTTGAGCAGAATCACACTGGGAAGCACTTGTATTTAGTATAGGTGAAGCATCCCTTTTCTGAAATGCTTAGGACCAGAATTATTTCAGATTTTTGTAATTTTTTTTGGATTTTGTAATATTAGCATAGACTTCCCCAGATTTCTGAAAATCTGAAATCTGAAAAGTTCCAAAATCTGAAACTTTTTGAGCAACACATCAGCTCAAGTTTCAGAGCATTTCAGATATGAGACCAGAGGAGAGTGTACTACCTCATTTCTGTAACAGCAGAAAAAAAAAAAAAACTATACCAAATGTAGAAAAAGACATGAATGAGCAATGATACATGTGTGCACACTATATAAAATAAAACACCCCACAATGGGAGCAGTCTACGTTTATAAACAAAGACAAATCCAGAGAACACGATGTTGATAGAAAATATGTGCAACATGATACCATGTAAATGTTCAACATAGTACTGCATATTTCACAGAAACAAAGATGTTTGCAGTATAAAATATGAATGGAAAGTACCTCTTTAGGAGAGAGGTTTACCTTTGCAGAAGGAGAGAACAGAAGGAAATGGAATTAAAAATGGAGTAGAAGAGAGCCCTAAATTCTATCTGTAAGATTTATTTTTAAACAGACATGAAGTACACGTGACTGTTGACGTTCATTTCATCTGGAGAGCAGATCTCACATTTGTTATATCATTGGTGTTCTTTATGTTTTTTTTTTCTGTACTATGTTTAAAGGATTTCATAAAAAAAATCAGTTTTTAAATGAGGAAAGGAAGAAAAAAACTAAATCTGTACAATCTTTGTTCATGCTTGTGGTTTGGAGGATTCTTTGCCTGATTCCACTCTGAGAATCTAAATCAGGCCTGATTCTTAATGTGAATGTGGTCTACTTCTCACAGGCCAAGAAAATCTTCCAAGAAGGCTGCCATAGTGATTCATGTCAGGGGTCGTTTTAGTCAGTTTTGTGTTGCTGTGACTGAGAGACCCGACAAGAACAACTTGAAGGAGGAAAAGTTTATTTGAGCGCACGGTTTCAGAAGTCTCAGCCCATGGTGGCCAGCTCCATAGCTCTGCGCCTGAGGTGAGGCAGAGCATCACAGTGGAGGGGTGTGGCAGAGGACACGGCACCCAGGGAGCAGAGAGAGAGAGAGCTCTGCTCACCAAGGACAAATAGAAACCCCAAAGTCATGTCCCCAGTAACCTACTTCCTTCCGCCACACCCTGCCTGCCTACAGTTAGCACCCAGTTAATCCATCAGTGGATTAATCCACTGGTTACCTTACGACTCTCAAATCGAATCGTTCTTGCATTGTCTGACACGTGAGCTTTAAACCATAACGTGAGTCAGCATGTCTGTCCCACGGTGCCCAGATATTTAGTCAAAAATTACTATGGCTATTTCTGTGACGATGGGTCTTTCCCCTGCTTTGGATGAGGTTCATAGTTAAATGGGTGGACTCTGTGAAGCAGGCTGGCTACTCTGCACCAGGCGGGAAGGAAATTTCCGAAACTAAAATGAATTACATTTGAAAACAGTTTTAAAATGAGACAAATACAAATTGTAAAATCCCTTCCTCAGGCGTCTGCCACATGGCTGAAGGTTTATGTACTCGGGACTCGATGGCTGCAGCGTAGGGAGGGAGGCTACCAATTTGCAGGGAGTCTTCTCCAAGGGGTAGATAGAAAGCCTCCTGGGAAGGAATCAGGGCATGACTTAGAATGAGGATCCTGGTCTCTGACCCTTTAGAAGACGAGAAGCAGTAAAAAGACAGCCAGCAAATTTGTCTGATTGCATCTGGACCCCAACACCAAACTGATCCAAGTGAAAGCTACCAGCGTGTTTGGGCACTAAGGGAAACTAACAGAACGTGAAAACAAGCTTTAGAATCCTATCGATTGAATTTGGTTTTGTTTCCACCAAAACCTATATTCAGGCTGAACCCCTCAGGGCTGCGGTATTGGGAGATGGGACCTTTCAGAGGTGATTAAGTCACTAAGAGGACTGACGCCTCTCTCCTGGGACTGGACAGAGTGAATTCTCGCTCTCAGTGTTGGAATAATTCTTGCAAGAACGGGTGGAAACTAAGTGAGGCCTCCTCTCCATGTTCTTGGTCCCTTCTGCAAGCAACCAATTCCCCTCCTTCTTTTCCACCATGAGTTGAGCGGCACATGGCCCTCTCCAGAAGCTGAGCAGTTGTGGTCCCCATGTTCTTGAACCTCTAGAACTGTGAGTTAAATAAATGAACCTCTTTTCATTATCATTTACCCTGCCTTGGCTATTTTGTCATACAACAGAAAATGGTCTAAGGGTTCTTACACACATCCCTTGTGGAACCAAAAGCCCAGTAAAAAATTGAGACCTATTGGTTCTATGAATGTACATTCAAAAAGCTTAACTTTATGCTGGGAGAAGAGTAGCTGTGAGGAGATTTTACATATCTGGATGCTTAGGAAGCAGAGGTCAGCACCTTCATTCCAGAATCTATTGGTCTTTGGATTTTCATCAAAATCCTCTACCTAGGAGTTCAGAGACAAGACCATCTTGCCCTGCGTGTAGGGCACACACTTCCATAGGAGGCCAGATGCTATTTGCCTCATCAGGAACCCAAGTAGGAAACAAGGCCTGAGCCCAAAAGCTCTGGGGTGCCTGATGCCGGTCCCCACCTCAGCAGGGCCTCCTCTGCCATCAGATGTCCTTGGTCGTCTTCTCTTGTCATGCTTCCTAACTCACCCCTGGAAACTCACATCCCTTCCCATGGCTTCAGTCACGTGCTGGTGACTCCAGGGTATCGTTCTCAGCTGATCCACTCACCCAGCTGCCAAGTGGATATTTTCATGAGTGCCCCTGAGTTTCACTTCAAACTCCACATATCCCACATGAGTTCACTCCCCTCCCTCTGGACGCTTTCCTAAGCCTCCGCATCCCCGGGGTCCCTTCTCTCAGCTGACATCACCCAGCCACTAAAGCCGGAGATCCTGTAGTCTTGGTTTCCCTGTCCTCCCCTCCCCCGCCAGTCCCCATCAGGAGAAAAGGATGACAGTGTGAACTGACAAGGACCCAATACTTAGGTAGGCAGAATGTGTCTTGAGAGAGGTAACTCACAACGTAGAGGACAGAGGAGATGGTAAGCCAGCACAGAGCTTCCACCCCAAGATTCCAGAACAGGGTTCCTGATGAATCAACAATGGTATTTCCAAGATGCAGAACGTAACCATCATCTCTCTCTAGTGGGAACACGAAATGTTGTTTTCCAAAAGCTGAAGATAAGAATTTATATGAACCACGTGGCTGTGTATTTATTTGTCATTGTATTATTTATTTCGCTGATAACTGACAAATATCCGTATAAATAATAATAACAACAGCATATTGACATGTTATATGCAGAAGAACTTGAGTCTTATTTTTTAACCAAAGCTCGAATTCGATTATTAGACCAACTAGGTCTTCCCGGCTTTCCGCAACTATTTCAAATGGAACTGTGGGTCAAGTGCCAGAATTTTTAATAACAAACATCAACCAACATTTTCAACGTTTTACTGCCTGCTGTGAAACAGACCACCGCCCATGTAATTAGGGATAACGGCATCTTCTGCCCAGGAACACAGAAACTACAAAGTGGCCCATTTCCTCAGTGCTTATCTTATAAGGAAAAAAAAAAAGGTGACACAGGACGGCAGAGATAACCATAGGGAACACATCTGCAGTTGGCCAGGGCGCTTTCTGTTCATCTTTGATAACATCTTCAAAGCAGCACAGAAAGGAAGGAGGCTTTCAACCCAATCCCAGGAGCGGGAGGGGACTCCTCCAGCAATGGACAATCGTGTTTGACGCCAGACAGTTCTGTAACACTCTGACTGTAAATCAGTCCTTTAAGAGAAAGTCTGTCACAAAGAATTTGTTCTTTTTTTTAGGAGATTTGTCATGCTGTGTGTTAGGCAGCTATTTTTTAGAAAGATGCCTTAAACATACTTAAACAGAATTCAGACTAGGCTCACTAGGTCAAGCCTGCTAAGTGGGAGAACTTTTAACAGTTTTGAATGAAAGCACTTTTTGTTGTATATTCAGCCAACTGGGTCACAGTTTTTCTGTTTTTGTTTTAGGCGGTGCTGGGGATCCAACCCAGAAGGGTTTCGTCTGTGAGCCCCACCCCTAGCACCAAACATAGACCTCATAGAAGCCAACTAAGAGCTTCCAGAAGCCACACCCTTGTCTCAAGATCCAAGAAATTAGAGGATAGTGAAGCATGCACGAGCTGGGTAGACAGCAGTATTTCAATTAATCACATCTCTTGGGTCAAATATGGAGACAATTGGTTAACTAATACCTGTTCAGGACCCAACAAATCCACCTTGCATCCTTAACTACACCAGAAATAAGGTATCAAAGCCACAGAATTTTTAAATTAAAGATCACACAGTTCAATCCCTTCATTTAAAAGATGAGAAAATGAGCCTCAAATCAATTGGTCTGATACCGTTTAGAAAGACCATAGTTTGCATAAATTCGCGGGGCTCCTTAAGGGAGCGGGTCAGACCCTGACCTTCCACCTGCTCACTTCCCATCCTAGCATGGCCAGCGGCAGTTGCTGACCCCCTGGGCCAGGGAGGACGATGCCATTTGGTGGAATCACAACCAAGTGCCCTCGTGTGAGCCAGCAGGAAGCCCTGCTCTGCCCACCGCCCCCGGCGCCAGTGTGTGGGGCTGAACAACGGGAGCGCACACAGTCACCCTGAATGTGGACAGCTTCCCAAACAGGCGTGAGGAGGCCGCTGGCTGAGCAACCTCGGAAAACCCGCCTTGTGGAAATGGTGTGAAAGGCGCATTGGGGGCAGCACCAAAGAAAGGAAGCTTTCATTCCTTCTGCCTTCCTGGTGGATTAGCACAGCTCCAGCGGCCTTCAAAGGCCCCCTCCTCACTCACCATGGAACCAGGGGGCGATGGTGTCTGAGGTTTTCTGGTAGCCTGCTCGGCAGGGCAGCTGCTCCTCCTTGAACCACCGGATGATGTCCTCCTGGGCCGAGCTGGAGGCCGTCCTGGTCACGCCCTGATTGCTGTTACTTGTAAAAGAGTTTCCAAGTTAGAGCCAACTAATTTGAAAATAATATCCTCAAAAATATTTTATATATCTATGTGTGTGTGTGTGTGTGTGTGGTGTGTTATACCCTCCGTGTCCAAATATTCCACATCCTTGGATTCAATCAGTGGAGGATCGAAAATATCGAAAGAAAAAACCTCATGTCTGTGATGAACAGGTACAGACCTTTGTTCTTTGTCATTTATTCCTTAAACAATACAGTAGAACAACTATTTATGTAGTGAGTAGGTATTACTATAACAGGAAGCTAGAGAAGCTGGCTTTTGCTAAAAGCACTCTTTTTTTTTTTTTTTTTTTTTTGTACCAGGGACTGAATCCAGGGGTACTTAACCACCGAGCCACATCCCCAGCCCTGTTTTGTATTTTCTTTAGAGACAGGGTCTCACTGAGTTGCTTAACCCCTCGCTAAGTGGTTGAGGCTGGCTTTGAACTCATGATCGTCCTGCCTCCCCCTCCCAAGCTGCTGGGATTACAGGTGTGCATCACCCACCTGGAAAAGCACTGACTCCTTAGGCCTGTGCAGATGGTGAGGGAAAGCAGGATCAAGCTGGGCATCCCTGCCTCACTCTGCATCTGTCTCCTTTATTACCTTAACATTGGGGTCCAATCCCTCTTCAGCTCTGCATGTAGATGCATTAATCCTTTAAGGAGGGGCTCATCTAAAAGCTGGCAATATGAGGCTGATTAGCCCTGAGTTTACCTAACCTATGCCCTTCCCGTTCAAGGCTGAGGCAAGATGTGCGGCAGACTGTTTCTGACCCCAGGAGTGACACCCAGAAGTCCTCAGTCCTTGTCCTACACCTTCCAGGAAGCAGGAGGCAGCACGTCACCCCTGAGGTGAGATGAGGATGAGGCTGACCCCTGAGCAGGAGCAGCCCCCCCATGAGACCTGAATTGCCCCGCAGGACAGCAGGTCTGATGAACATTCTGAGCAAAAAGTGGAAGCTGCTCCCTCAGGTGATAAGGATTTCTCCAGAGCCACCCCAGAATCAGCCACACCAGTCTGACCAGGGCTCTTAACTACGCAGAGCTCCCCACCCCCCACCCAATTCCTCCTCTAAGCCTAAAACTCCTGTCAGTGCTCCAAAGATGGGGCTGAGATGCTGGATCCCAGTTTGCCTTCCAGTTATGGACATCTTGACTAAAGTTCTTTTCCTAATTTTTCTCGGCACTTCTTAAATAATCTTTTCCTGAATTTAATATTACCTTTTCTGTTTGTTTTTTGGGGCAAGTGGCTAGATGTGGGACCCACCCATCCCACCGTCAGACTTCTAAGCTAGGATCCAGTAACATTAGGTATTATAAGTAACCCAGAGATGATTTAAAGTATACAAGACTCAGTGCCAAGGTTATATTAAATACTGCACCATTTCCTATAAGAAACTTAAGCATCTTGGTTATCTTGTGGAATCCTGAAACTACTCTCCCACAGATACTGAGGGACAGCATGTGTGTGCCATCTGTGTATACACACACACACACACACACACACACACACACAACTATATACATCTCAACATCTAATTACATGGGCTGAGATAATGAGCAGCTGGACTCCTTGCGTACCACCATTATACACTCCCCAAGGGTAGACAGAGGGAAGAACACAAATCCATCGCCTGTCCTTCCAGTACCAAAGGGAAAGTCATAGGTATGAACTACTGCTGTGTTAAAACCTAGATTTAAATTCATTTTTAATGGGAATTAGAAGGACCATTAACTCCCAATTAAAATTTCAGAAAATAACCATTAAAAAGTTGAAATATACTTTTCAACTTTTTGAAAAGTTGAAAAGCACTATTTTCCAGCACTATCTTCCCACAGAGCATTTACTTGCAAACAAAAGAAATCACATGTGATAGATAAATTCTTTCCTAATGTTTTCTTTATTTGATTTTTCTCTTTTTTTTCTCTGTTTCCACTAACCTCCCAGACTGGCTTTCTTCCCTCCCCTATTTTGAAGAGGTTTAGTTGTACTAAAAGACAGTCTCAAAAACACAAAGTAAAAGGAAAAAGATGGTTTGAAGATTTGGGAGAAGAAATAAACAACTGGATCGTTTTGAAATAAATTCAGTGGCAGGACTTGAGTTCTGGTATGTAAACAGGTTTCCAATACAAAAAGCAATGCTGCAATTAATAAATATATTTTAAAATCCTACTTAATAGCAGAATAATCCTGAGCAGAATTCACCTAAAAATAACAACGACAAATAATCTGGGTGAGCCGCCGGAATTTCCTGTAATGTAAATTAATTTATGGCTCTTCGTGCTTTCTATGATAATGTGCATTACTGAGTCACATGTGATGTGTATTACATATACATACATACATGTATATCTGCTTATACATGTATATATTATTCCTCATGATTTTCAGAATGTTTTAGAAAAAAATATGCTATAAGATTTGACTTTACTGGAAAGCCACCATACATACATGAGATTGTATGATATATTCTTGTACTAGCTTCTAAGTGAGGTTCTTTTTCTCCAGAAAATCCTTGAAGATGGAGCAAAACTCTAAAGACACAGGCCCTATCTTCTCCTGGGCTGGCTCCTGGATGACCTCTGGTCACTGTGTAGAGCCCCAGGCTCAACCCCACCCAGCCTGACGCAAGAGGCACCTCAAGCAGTACCTTAAGTTGGAAAAAATGAGCTGAGCACAGCTCACAACAAGAACTGCCCTTTTAGAAAGTCCACCTTCGTTGCTGCCAATCAAATGCACTGTGCTCTAAAAATACTGCAGGGAAGGGACACATCACAAGGCCTTCTCCCATGCCACCCTTGGAAAACACCGGAGCACAGGAGTGAGCCACACAGACAGCTCTGCCCCAGGCTCTGTGACCAGTGTGCACACGGACAAGCCTCATGGTGGACAGGGCTACACATGGGAGCCTGATCACAAAACTAAGGGGACATGTATCTCTTGTTTTGCTGTCCATAAGGAAAAAAGATCATTCCTCCAACTGTCATTTTGTAGAACGTGGTCATTTAGTGTTGGTCCCCACATCTCAAAATGGAACTTTTCAGTTGAGTAAGTAGAAGTAATTATAGCAGAGGAAAAGGTCCACCTTTGTGTTTCCTCTGAGGTCATCATCCCTGTTAAGGAACAAAATCCTTGATGATAACGACCAGTTCCA